TTTTTTTCCTGAGTCTCATCTCATCCTGGGCCCTTTTCCATCCCAAACCTTGAATTACACTGGTGTCTTCACAATCACATTCCTGAATCTCTTACCATCTCTCACCTACAAAGGTGGGGACTGCCAGTGAGAAGATACTTAAAGTATAGTAGTTTGAGGATATCTGATTCAACAACACTTGACAATTTTGACAAAGCTAAAAATTTAATGATATTTTTGCAATGGCTGCATCAAAACATTGCTGAATCAAAATGGTCATCATAAATACCCTGTGAAAATGCCCTTAGAATCAAAGCAATTGTATCATAATAGCAACCAAGTCGAATGGGATGTACAATGCTACTAGGATCAATAAAATTGAGGCTGTAAATTATAATAGCTAATTCTAAGAACTTTATGTGTATTTTCTACTTGTAACCTTACAATTACCTATGATGTAGTTGCTACTGTCAATCCATTTTACAGTTAAATAAACAGAATCCAGAAGGCAGTGGTACACAGTAACACAAAAGAGCAGATGGGGATAGAATGTAAGCAATATGACTCCAAGTCCATGTACTTCATCACTATCTCTACTGCTTTTTGTTCAAAAAATGTTAAAAGTATGATTAAAATGCAGAGAGTATAAACTCACTTTTAAATGACATAAAAATAAAAGATCCTCACTCTATTTTTAAATTTGGAATGGAGCAAGACAAATTTCCATAAATTCTGACATTTACTCTTCTACCCAATTATTAAAATAAAAAATTATATTAAATATAATTTGGGTGGAATCATATTATAAGCATTTACATTTTACATTCGAATCATGGACTTTTAAACTCAAGTCATATCACACCTTCAGAGCTTGAAATTTTAGTCTGTTTCTTTCAATCTTGCCAAAGGAAATTATTTACTTTCAAAAACAGATTATTACCAGCTTGGTTATAATTACTATAACACTTCATTACTATAACACACAAAAATAATCATACCACAGACATATTTTCTGTAGTTCCCCTCCTAAATACCCTTGTTTAAACATAATGAGTGGGAAATAAAACTACATAATTTCAAAATCATAATTTAGTAATTGCAGATAATTTACAGAGAACAATAAAGATAACATTTATTAAATGCTTAATTATAAGAATATTTTTAATTACTTCATAGGCAGGTGAAAGTTGGACAGTAAGTAAGTAAGACTGAATGAGATCTGATGCATTTTAATTATGGTGTTAACAAAGAACATTGACTATATTATGGGCTTTCAGAAGAAAAAACAAATCTGTATTTGAAAGAAGTAAAGCTGCCCCTTATAAGCAAGGATGGCCAGACTTCCTCTCACATATTTTGGACATGTTATCAGCAGGGACCAGTCACTGGAGAAGGTCATCATGCTTGGTAAAATAGAGGGTCAGTGAAAAAGCGGAACACTCTCAATGAGGTGAATTGGCATGGTGGCTGCAACAGTGAACTCAAACACAGGAATAATTTTGAGAATGGCATAGGATTAGGCAGTGTTTTGCATGGGGTATCTATGAGCTAGAACTGACTCGATGGCATTTAACAACAACAGTGTGATATTTAACATCTTTTGGATATCTTACCTGAGAAAACACAGATAGTAACCCCACATGTTATATGAAACATTCTGCTTTTATCCAACAGCCTTCTTGTCCGCCTGCTTGGAACCTAAATAAAATAATTTACTTTAATAAAAGTGACATAACAAGTAAGATATATGTACCAACTTTTTCACTGTACCACTGTTCATAATATAGAGAATTCAAAAATATTGCAGGTCCCATCAATTAAAAGTTGGTAAGATAAATTATGATATATCTAGTCAACAGGACATTCTTAAACTCTTAAAGAAAATCTGAGGAGCCTATCTGTATCAATCTGGAAAGACATGCAAGGTATATCATTGGATAAAAAAATATAAAATAATCTAAATTATGATGCTATATTTTCTAAAATTGATGGTAATACATGATATTTATTCAAAATATCATCAGTGATTGTCCTGGTAGGGCGAAATTAAGAGAAACTTTTCCTTGATTACTTAGCAAATTTCAGAGATATTTGAATTTTATATTATATGATTTCCTTTTGCAGTCCAAAAATAAATTATTTTTTAATGAAGCAAGCCATCTATCGTTTTAAATGCCTGCTTAATCTTACAGGAAAATGTCAAGCATCTTTGAACACCTATGTTTCACACCAGGGGACAATTATTGCAGACTTATTAAATGCTGACAGACTTAGGTGGACACTTTTAATTTCCTGACATTTTTCTTCTTGTTCTTCACACCAAGCCAATGGCTAGCCACAGGGACCAAACTCTAGCATTTTACAATGGTAGGCAACCTAGGGAAAGAGGTATTTCCACAAATTACTGCTTTAAAAGTAAAGAGTTTCCCATTATAATTACATGAAAAGGTTGAGAGATTTTACTAGAGTAAATCTACTGATATGAACTTCACAAAATATCAAAGCTACCTCTAATTAACAACCTTTGTAATATTAGCATCTATCCAGCAGTACCTCATTATCTTAGTGAGGAAAAGAACACACTCACCCACACACATATGCATGAAGGTAATCACAAATGGAAAAGTATCTCGGTTTAGTTTTAGCAGAATGATTACTGTTGGGAGCAACTAAACTGAAGGTCTCAGACTTGGGGGTAGTTTAACCAAAAGACTGCAACTGAACAATTGTGATCCAGAAAATCAATCGGGCTGTTCCCAGGTCAGGCTGCCCCCTGAGGAACTTGCAAAGCCTGCCTCAGTGAACAAGGAATTTGCAGTCTTTCCTTGTATGCAGCCATGGCCTTCAGTCTAGTCTGCAAAAACATCTCGCTACTCTATTTCTGTTTCCCTAGCAACTACAAATTGCATTCTTCTAATAAGGACCCGCTAACTCCATGTACAAACATCACCAGATGTTTTTGTACTCTTTTCCCTGCCCTCAGCACCTCCTTTTGATATGTGTATAAAATAAACAAACATGCTGACTCTGGTCTGCATCACAGGCTCTCCATCAGAGTGCTGTGTCCCACCTGGTCCCAACTTTTACTTAATTCTTTTGTGTCTTCCTTTTTTCTAATCTCCTGTTGCCCCTACTGGGGTTTAATCTCTCTGTGCAGGTCGCAGGGAATAGCCATTGTTGGATGCGGCAGATTACCCAAGCATGTTTCTATTTTCTATCATCTTTTGTGTCACAACATAAATACCACATATATAACATCACTGTCTAATTAAGATTATCTCTTCAAGCCGGTTGTCGTTGCTGTTGTTGCTACGTGCCATTGAGTCAGTTCCAACCCATAGTGATCTTGTGTAGGGTTTCCAAGAAGCAGCTGATGAGCTTGAACTGTCAACTTGCAGTTCAAACCAACTTTGAAGTCCGGCGTATTGACCAACAGCACCACACAAGGATGCCACATCAGATTAGGGGTGAGTTAATTAAATGTTTGACCAAATATAGCATTGTAAATTTTAAGTTGATTATTTTGTATGGCCCATGAATAATTTTATAAAGTTTAGCAGAAAAAATGTTCTCCACCCCTGCTATAAGGTAAACTAAGTAGAACTTACATTATTATTATACTTGATTTTTTACTGGAATCTGCAATTACATGTTTTGTTTTCCTTACCTTCTGGGATCCTCGAAGGTAAGCCAGGAGGGTTCGGCACATAGGTAAAAGGATAAGGCTGCAGTTGAGGTTAAGGACAGATGCGGAGGCTCTGCTTAGACACAATCCTAGCTGAACAAATAAGGCAATGGTCAAAACACAAAGACAAAGACAAACTACAAACAGCCCTGAGCTCACTCTACACACTGCAGAGTCATTCTGCTCATTCTTTAAAGATAACAGCAAATGCCAACTCTTTAAAGAGTCTTGGATTATCCTTACCCTAAGAGAATAATCTCTTTCTGCTTGGCATTCCCACCAAACTTTGTTATTCTCTCACTTCTGCTAGTGAGATAATCACTTGAGCACATTCTTCCAGCACAAGGTTGATTTCTTCTTGCCTCCACCATGCTGTTTAAATGTTATAAGCCTTAGAGAACTTCACTGTTTTCTGTACCTCCCATGTTGGTGCAGTCATTGGTAAGGTTTTGTTCATTGGTAATGTCACAATTTCAAATAAAGCTAGCTCATTTCTGTTTTCTCTCTCCGGAACAGGCTCACCCTGCATACAACCTACCCCTTACACACCACTGACTGCCACACTCATATTTCAGATTAAAATGAAATCTGCCTAAAATGAGGCACTGTTCTTTGGGAGATCTTTCCTAACCTTATTTTTGTTGTTGTTAAATGCAGGTGAGTCAGTTTGGACTCATAGCAACCCTGTTTAGGGTTTCCAAGGAGCAGTGATGGTTTGAACTGCTAACATTGTGATTCACAGTCCAGTGTTGATCCACAGCACCACATTAGGAGAAATACCACTGTTAAATTGCTCATTGCTTTCCATACTTCCCTTGTTGTAACATGTTCTCATGCTTTATTGCAATCATTTGTTTTAACAAACTGTCATTCCCTGGTCAATGGTGAATTCAGTGAAGGAAGACAGTATGGTCTGACTTGTACATAAACCAAATCCATTGTCGTAGAGTCCATTTCAGCTCATAACGGCCTGATAGGACAGGATAGAATTGTTCCATAGGCAGTTTCTAAAGCTGTAATCTTTACAGAAGCAGGATGTCACATATTCCTCCCACAGAACAGTGGTGGGTTCAAATCACTGACCTTTAGATGAAGTCAAGCACTTCAGAGCTCCTTACCTTGTATACATATATACTCACTAGCACTGAGTCAATTCTGAGTCATAGTCACCTTATATAGGGTTCCCAAGACTGTATGTCTGTATAGGAACAGACAGCCTCATCTTTTTCACAAAGAGCAGCTGGTGGCTATCAGCCACTGACCCTGTGGTTACTGGACCAATACCTAACCCACAGTGCCACCTGCACTCCTTGTGCTCATATTATTGTTGTTTAGTGTAGTCGAGTTGCTTCTGACTCATAGCAACCCTGCATAGGGTTTCATAGGCTGTACATCTTTGCAGGACCAGAAAAGCGTTATCTTTCTCCCATGGATTGCTGGTGGGCTTGAACCACCAAACTTGTGGCTATCACACTCCCTTTCTAAGTGTTTTCGTTGTTGTTGCTAAGTGCTATCAAGTCAGTTCTGACTCACAGGGGCACATTAGTTGATTTGACCCACCGACCTTGCAGTTAGCAGTCTAGTGCATATCCCACAGTGCCACACCAAGACTCCATACACATATTGTTATTGTTAAGTGCCATCAAGTTGGTTCCTACTCATAAAGACCCTGTACAGAGTTTCCGAGGCTGTATATCTTTGCAGGAGCATAAAGCCTCATCTTTCTCCCAGAGAGTAACTGATGGGTTCAAACCACCATTCTTTTAGTTCACAGTCTAGTGCTTATCATAGAGAGCCACCACAACTCCCCGTACATGTATATTGTTGTTGTTGTTGTTAAATGTGGCCTAATTGGTTCTGGTTCAAAATTATCCTGAAAAGGGTATCCAAGGAACAGCTGGTGAGTTTGAACCACAGACTTTGTGGTTCAAACTAACCTTGTGGTCCAGTGCTATATTCCATAGCACCACACCAGGACGAATATATAGTAGGTGCTAAAACACATTTGCTGAAGAGATGAATACAGGAATAAAAACCTTACACCCTCTGATACTTTTACCAATTCATTTCCAGCATTCTCAGAGAGACTTGTTTCTCTTCCCCAGCTAACCTCACTTCCCCAACCCATCCTTTTCATCCCCATCCTCCCTCAGTGAACAAAATCTGTTTTTACTGTTACTGGTGAAATGACTTTCTCCAACAGGAAAAAAACATTTCCAAACAATGTATTAGACAAAAATTGGTAATTTTTCTTTAAAGTTCTTTGAGCAAATGTTTATCATGAAACTAAGTAAAATTCACTCATTATTGTTGTTGTTAAGTGCTATCAAGTCAGTTCCAACCAATAGCGACCCTGTATAGAGTTTCCAGGGGGTAACTGGGGAGCTTGGACCACCAACCTTGTGGTTCAAACCAATTTAGCAGTCCAGTGCACTAATCCACAGCATCACAATGGCTTTAGGTGCCCAAATCTCACCTACAGAATTCAAAATGATACTGTTTGTTCTTATTTTTACAGAGATCAGATGGCATCGGAGCTTCATGTTTCTATGTATGGAGGTTCTCTTTTCTTATAAATTCCATTATCCTGCCTGCCAATCCCCACATGTTGATTCTAACCAATAACAGTTGATATGCCTGGAAGAGAGAAAGTGATTCAAGTTGACTGTAACACCATGAAGTGAAAGTACACCAGCTCTCTAGGTAGAAAAAAAAAAAAAAAAAGTGGGGAGGGGGCTGGATTTTCAGCAGTTTCCCCAAACAGTACCTGTGCTACAAAAAAGGATCTCTGGTGGTGCAGTGGCTAAGCACTCAGCTATTAAACAAAAGGTTGGCACTTCAAACCCACTAGCCACTCCAGAGACAAAAGATGAGGCAATCTTCTTACATAAAAATAAGGCCTGACATAGACGATGACGTAGAGAGATGGAGCAGCTGGGGCCTTTAGATCCAGAGAAAGAGAGTGACTGTGTGCTGAAGACCGGGGGTGTGTGGGGGGCAGGCTTGCAGGGTATACCCTTTGGTTGGTTGATGATGCATGGAGGGGATTGTAACCATGGCAATGAAACGATATATGATAGAATGAAGGTAAAACTAATGTTCTCCAATGTAAACTATCACATAATTCACAATAAAACATTAAATATATTTATATATATATATATATATATATATATAGAGAGAGAGAGAGAGAGAGAGAGAGAGCCTGGGAAACACTGTGGAGAAGTGTTATGCTGTCATATAGGGTTTCATGAGTAAGAATCATCTCGATGGCAACAGGTGTTATAGACGATGCTGAAAATATTTCATCATGACCGATACCAACTGCCAAGGTGACTACTGAATATGTACTATTGAGAAAACATGTGAACAAATGCCTCTTGGAAGCTGGTGTGGGATTCCTCCAGAACATCACTAGATGTATGGACCTGTGCCTCCATGCCTCATCTACTAATCTGAATAGTAATGGTACCATCTTCATTATACTATTGTAAGGATTAAATGAGACCATACATTTAAAACTCTTAGAATCCTGCCTGAAGCCAAGTAATTAGCTGTTAGTTGTGGTGGTTCTTATTCTGAGTGATATGAAGTAGGAATAAGGCAGTTCCATTGATGGTTGTGGGTTAATTCTCTCACCAAAGTTCTCTGGAAACAGGATGAAAACAGAATTTAAAAATATAAAGTTGGATGCAAAGGTCTCCTAGCAAATCAATAGGCATACTTCAGTAACTTAAATCATTCAACAGTAGATGGGAGAGAGATGAAAGGATTCCCACTGCAATGAAGAAAATCACTGGACAGTGACAATGCGACTCTAGCAACACAGTCCAGAGGTCTTTATAAGTTTCCTAACACTTTCCTATGTTAAAGAAGATGGTGCCTTTGAAAACTGGAATGTATATGTTTGAGTATGTGTTGGGAGCAGGCACTATTAAGCAATTCTTAAGTACTAGTCTTCATTTTGCAGGAGAAATATGAGGCTTTCTGCTTCTATAAAAGATGCGTTGTTGTTGTTAGGTGCCATCGAGTCGGTTCCAAATCTCAGAGACCCTATGCAAAACAAAATGAAACACTGCCTGGTCCTGCATCAGCCACACAACTGCTATTAGGCTTCAGCCCATTGCTGCTGCCATGGTGTAAATCTATCTTATTGTGGGTCTTCCTCTTGTTTGCTGACCTGCCACTTTACCTAGCACAGTGTTCTTCTTCAGGGACTAAGCCCTCATGATAATGTGTCCAAAATACGAGAGGTGAAGTCTTGCCAAGATTGCTTCCAAGGAGCATTCTGGCTGTACTTCCAACACAGATTTGTGTGTTCTGACAGTTCATGGTACTTTAAATATTCTTCTCCAACATCGTAGTGCATCAATTCTTCTACGACCTTCCTTATCCATTGTCCATCTTTCACATGCATATAAAGCAACTGAAAATATCATGATTTGGGTCAGACACACCTTAGTCCTCAAACTGGTATCTTTGCTTTTGAAATTACTTTAAAGAGGTCTTGTGCAGCAGATTTGCCTAGTGCAATAAATGATTTGATTTCTTGACTGCTGTCTCCATGACTGTTGATTGTTGATCCAAGCAAAATTAAGTCTTTGACAACTTCAATCTTTTTTCTCCATTTATCATAATGTTTTTTATTGGTCCAGTTGTGAAGATTTTTAATTTCTTTACATCTAGGTACAATCCACACTGAAGGCTGTGGTATTTGATCTTCATAAGTAAATATTTTAAGTCCTCTTTGTTTTCAGTAAGCAAAGTTCTATCATCTGCACATCACAAGTTGTTATTGAGTCTTCATCCAATCCTGATGCCAAGCTCTTCTTCATATAATCCAGCTTCTTGAATTATTTGCTCAGTATACAGACTGAATAAGTATGGTGACAGAATGCACTGCTTTGACACACACCTTTCCTGATTTTAAAGCATTCAGTATCCCCTTGTTCTTTTCAAAGTTCTGCCTCTTGGCCTATATAGAAGTTCCTAATGAGCACGTTCAAGTATTCTGGAATATATATTTTTCATAATGCTATCCATAGCTTATCATGATCCATACAATCAAAAGCTTTTATATAGTCAATAAAGCA